CCTTCTTGTCTGATCACTATGGCTAGCACTTCCAGTACTATATCAAACAGGAGTGGTGAAAGTGGGCATCCCTGTCTTTGTCCCGTTCTTAGGGGAAATGAGTTTAGTTTTTGCCCATTGAGTATGATGTTGGCTGTAGGTTTGTCATATAAGGCTTTTATTATATTGAGGTATTGTCCCTCTATTCCCACTTTGCTGAGAGTTTTTATCAAGAAAGAGTGTTGGATTTTGTCAAATGCTTTTTCTGCATCAATTGATATGATTATGTGAGTTTTGTCATTTCAGTTTGTTTATGTGATGTATCACATTTCTTGATTTGCGGATATTGTACCATCCTTGAATATCCCCGAAATAAATCCTACTTGGTCATGGTATATGATCTTTCTAATGTAATGCTGAATTCAATTTGCTAGAATTTTGTTGAAGATTTTAGCATCTATGTTCATCAAGGATATTGGCCTGTTATTCTCTTTTTTCATAGTGTCTTTATCTGGTTTTGGAATTAGGGTAATTCTGGCTTCATAGAAAGAGCTTGGAAGTGTGCCTTCCTATTGAATTTTTTGAAATAGTCTGTGGAGGATAGGTTTAAGTTCTTCTTTTAATGCTTGGTAGAACTCCCCTATAAAGCCATCTGGAACAGGGCTTTTGTTTGCTGGAAGATTTTTGATCACTGCTTCAATTTCTTTGGTAGTCATAGGCCTATTCAGGTTTTTTAAATTCTTTTTTATTGAGTTTTGGAATCTTGTATTTTTCTAAGAATATGTCCATTTCATCTAGGTAGTCCACTTTGTTGGAATAGAGTTGTTCATAGTATTTCTTAATAATCATTTGTATTTCTGTGGGATCGGTTGTTACTTTGCCTCTTTCATTTCTAATTTTGTCTATTTGGGTCCTCTCTCTTTGTTTCTTGGTGAGCCTGGCTAGAGGTTCATCAATCTTGTTTATCCTTTCAAAGAACCAGCTTTTGGTTTTGTTGACCTTTATTATTGTTTTTTTGGTCTCTATGTCATTATCTCCACTCTGATCTTTATTTTTTCCTTCCTTCTGCTTACACTGGGATTTTCTTATTGCTCTCTTTCTAATTCTTAAGTTGTAGGGTTAGATAATTTACTACCATCTTTTCTTGTTTTTTGAGATAGGCCTGCAAAGCTTTGAACTTCCCTCTCAAGATTGCTTTTGCTGTGTCCTATAGATTTTGGATGTTGTGTTTTCATTGTCATTTGTTGTCATGATACTTATTTCTTCCTCGATCTCTTTGGTAACCCAATCATTTTTTAAAAGCATGCTATTTAGCCTCCAGGTGTTTGATTTTTAAATTGTTTTTATTGTAGTTGATTTCTAGTTCTATGCCATTGTGATCTGAGAAGATGCTTGATATGATTTCTATCTTCTTGAATTGGAAGAGACATTGCCTGTGCCCCAATATCTTTGAAAATGACCCATGTGCACTTGAGAAGAATGTATATTCTGTGGCTTTAGGTTGAATGTTACAAAGATGTAAATTCCATCTGATCTAGTGAGTCATTTAGGATTGCTGTTTCTTTGCTGATTTTTTGTTTAGGGGATTTGTCCAGTGGTGTTAGTGGGGTACTAAAGTCCCCTACTATGACAGTATTGCTGTCAATCTCTCCCTTGATATTCTCCAGAAGTTTTTTATGTATTTGAGTGCTCCTATATTGGGAGCCTATTTGTTTACCAGAGTTATATCTTCTTGCTGAATTGCTCCCTTTAGTATTATGAAGTGGCCTTTCTTATCTCTTGTTATGGCCTTCACTTTGAAGACTAATTTATCAGATATAAATATTGCTACCCCAGCTTTTTTTTTTTCACTTCCATTCGCCTGAAAAACCTTTTTCCAACCCTTCACCATCAGTCTGTGTGAGTTCTTTGTTCTAAGGTGGGTTTCCTGTAGATAGCAGATATATGGTCATGTTTTCTTATCCACTCAGCTACCCTATGTCTTTTGATTGGGGCATTTGATCCATTTACATTTAAAGTGATTATTGATAGGTACTTGTTTGTCGCCATTTTTAGTCTTTATGCCTGTGTTCCTTCTTCTCTTCCTATTTCTTCTTTTTATAGCAGACCCTTTAGCATTTCTTGCATTGTTGGTTTGGTGGTAATAAACTCCCTTAGTCCTTTTATGTCTGTGAAGCTCCTGATTTCACCCTCAATTTTAGTTGATAGCCTTTCTGGATACAGTATTCTTGGATTTAGACCCTTGCTTTGCATGACTTTGTATATTTCATTCCATTCCCTTCTGGCCTGATATGTTTCTGTTGAGAAATCAGTCAATAGTCTGATGGGAGATCCTTTGCAGGTAACTTTCTGTCTCTCTCTGACAGCCTTTAAGATTCTTATTTTGTAGTTGGTGTTTGCCAGTTTAATTATAATGAGTCTTGTTATCGATCTTTTGGGGTTCATCTTGTTTGTGACTCTGTGAGCTTTATAGATTTGTGTGAGCTTTTTCTTGCCGATATCAGGGAAGTTTTCTGTCATTATTTCTTCAAACAGGTTTTCTACTCGTTGTTCAGTTTCCTCTTCTTCTGGCACCACTATTATGCGGATGTTGCTTCATTTCGTGTTGTCCCAAAGTTCCCTTAGGCTCTCGTCCTGTTTTTTAAGTTTCTTTTCTAGATGCTGCTCTGCTTGGGTATTTTTTCCTACCTTGTCTTCTAGCTCACTGATGTGGTCCTCCGCTTCTTCTAGTCTACAGTTGATGCTTTCTATTGAGTTCTTTATTGCAGCAATGTTATTTTTTCATTTCTTCTTGGTTCTTATAGTGATGGCGAACCTTTTGAGATCGGCATGTCAGCATTTTGAAAAACCCTAACTTAACTCTGGTGCTGTGTCACATATAGAAATTTTTTGATATTTTGTAACCAAAGTAAAACAAAGACATATTTTTGATATTTCTTTTATATAGTTAAATGCCATTTAACAAAGAAAAATCAACCAAAAAAATGAGTTCGCATGTCACCTCTGAAACGTGTGATATAGGTTCGCCATCACTGTTCTTACACATAGTGTTGAATTTGTCTTCTATCCTTTTCAGTGACCTTATGACCACTTCTCTGAATTCTTTCTCTGTCATATTGTTTGCCTCCATTTCATTTACTTCTTCTGGTAATTCCTCCTTTCTTTTGTATGCGGGCTGTTTCTTTGTCTCCCCATGATTTCTCCTCTCAGGGTTTCTGGTTATGTAGCTCTCTCTCTCCTGCACTGACTTTCTTTAGGCAATGCCAGCTGTGTTTACTTTGCCAGCTCCGGCTGGGTGCTCTTTGATTCTGAAACGCGTGATATAGGTTCGCCATCACTGTTCTTACACATAGTGTTGAATTTGTCTTCTATCCTTTTCAGTGACCTTATGACCACTTCTCTGAATTCTTTCTCTGTCATATTGTTTGCCTCCATTTCATTTACTTCTTCTGGTAATTCCTCCTTTCTTTTGTATGCGGGCTGTTTCTTTGTCTCCCCATTTGAAGGTAAGGCTGGGGTTCTGATCACAGTCAATCTCCAATCACAGCCATCTCCTCTTAAAAATGACACAGCCTCTGTGGGACCGCCGGCCACTCCAGAAGAGATTTCAGCTACAGTAGAGGCTGCCCAATCACTGGAGGCCGGTCCGCCAGTCCCCAAGAGTCCCTTGGAGTATAACTGACCCTTGCTCACAAATATTGACACTCCCTACACATCCACGCACCCTCCTTTCGTTCTCTCACTCTTACACTATCTAGCAGCCTGCAGTCTCATAGGCAGCCATCTTACTTCTCCTATTTGTTTGTTTTGTTAATCCTCACCTGAGGATATTTTTTTCAGAGAGAGTGGAAGAGAGGGGCAGAGTCAGAGAGAGAAACATCTATGTGAGAGAGACACATCAATTGGGTGCCACCCACATACCTCGACCAGGCCAGGCATTGAGCCTGCAACCCAGGTACTTTCCCTTGAACAGAATTGAAACCTGGTCTCTCTAATATGAGAGATGATGCTCTAACCACTGAGATAAACCAGTCAGGGCAGTCAAGCATCTTTTATCTGAAAGTTTTGCTAGCTCACTTAGGCTGATTATCGTTAATTAAGTCAACTTAGACAATAACACAAGGGGAGGTGTGAGTGTGAAAAAAATAATGCATCCTATATGAAAACAAGAGGCAACAGACGCCTCTAGATAAATGTTAATAACTTCATTATCATTTCTCTGCATGTGAGCATTTGACCTAATTCACCTCCTGTAAAGACTGGGAATGCGAGCATTAGTCCCCAAACACTAGTATGGCTGCATGTGCACATTTTGTTTTTTTGCATTTCAAGGGACACACCAGGTCCTGAAATGGTGAATGTCACTCAGAAAGGTGTGTGCACAGGTCACACTCAGGAGGCAGCTTGTCACGGGCCCTGGTGCTGTCAGGGGTGCCCCTGAGAGGGCATGAGTGTCAGGCCTGGGCTGGACTTCAGGAAGTCCTGGTGTCCTTCATAAAATTTAAATTCTCAGGGTGCACCTTTGGCAGGTTTATAGGTGTCATGTAAAACATGATATTTAAAAGTAAATTAAAAACTAAGCCAAGTTTAAGGCAAGTAAGATGCACTTCCCCCTCTCCCAAACCTTAACATCTCTGAAATCAGGATGCAGCTTTGAGCCTGCCTCACAGTCACTGTCGGCCAGGTGGCAACTGTGACAAAATAGTCACTGCCACAACCCATTTATCTTCTTTTTATGTGAGCACCCTTGTCCTGACAGCCTCTGAGATTCCATGAAATACATACAGCACATGCAACTACGAATCCACTTCAGAACCTCTGGCAATTCCACGTGACAACCCTGAATGATGAGGTGCAGTGCACCCCGTGGTGGCAGGACTCAAGGCCAGATCAGGTCGGAGAAAAATACTGAACCCGCTTTTCAAAGTGCCAGGAAGATCAGAGCCACAGGAGGCCTTGCTGAAGACCTGGCAGCTGTCCTCACGTGTTAAATGCACTGCGGATCTCCCTACAGAAGTGGCCTATTGTAGACCTGGAGGAAACAGGGAACCCCAAAAACCTCTGCTGTGGAGCTTGTCTCTGCGGTAACTCTGTGGACATCAGCTCTGGATATTCAAGTCCCTACCACAGTGTCCATGATTTGTGAGGCTCCTCATGCTAAAGGACCTGAATTGTTCTGGGATGAAGTGCAGCAACACTGATGGGGTTTATGTTTCCTACTTGGGTGTTCACATACCAAAGGGGGCAGATGTGGTGTGTGGAGCACACCCCCTTCAGGCTCCTACACACACACACACACACACATACACACACACGCACAGGTGTGCACATCCAGCATGCAGTCTCCTTGGTTCTCCAGTGTCCCTGAGGGAGACCTGAGATCCTCCCCTTCACTTTCCGCCTACAGCCAGGTCAGCCTCTCCTACCTTTATCCTTGGGCCCTCTGCGGGTGTCTTGCTCTTCTGACCCCTTTGAGCAGCATGGGGTGGCCTGGAGGGGCTCCAGCTGAGATTGAAGAGGCTGAGAAGTACTGGGCGAGGCCTGGTCTGAGGACCCCAGTGGCCAGGGAGGACTCTCTGAGGTTGACTTTCGTCGTTCTCTGGAACCCCCTTTCTTTAGTTTGATGAGTTTGACTAAGGCTTTGACTCCAATCCAGTGCTTTTTCCTGTAAGAAGTAGGTTTTTAGGACACAGCCAACCCTCACTGCCCCTCCAGCAGGTGTCTGGGTGCCCTACACTAGCTGGGATTTCCATCACCAGCCTGTAAAGGTGGTGGTAAATCTGGTTCAGAAAGCGGGTGCTCTTCGCCACCACCATGCTCAACGCACCTGGGGCTCAGGAGTTGGCACACATTGTGCAGTTAATTCACACAGACCCAGGGGTGGTAGGAGCCTTCATCGTGCAGGAACCCACACTGGCCCCTGGGGAAAACAGAACTTCAAACCCAGCTCTCAGCTCTTGATTACTGTGCGAAGTGCAGGAAGTGGTGCTGTGCTGACCTAATTGTGCTGGTTGGCAAAATTCCACTAAAATGCCATTTTCAGAAAGACACTGGGACCTCCTCATTTTCTGCTAGAGTTAATAATACGTGAAATAGGCTGGCATACTCTGCCAATTTCTGGCATTGAGGAATCTGGGTGAGGGGAACAGGGCAGGAGCGTGGGCCGTTTGAATTAAAAACAGTGAGCCCTGGCTGGTGTTGCCTGGTGGTTGAAGCGTTGGCCTGAGCACTGATGGTGGTGGGTTTGATCTCCCAAAAAGGGCACATACCTGGGTTGCAGGTTTGATCCCTGGCCCCGGTCAAGGTGAATGCAGATGGAAACCAACTGATGTATCTCTCTCACATAGATGTCTCTCTCTCCTTTGTTCTCTCTCTCTCTCTCTCTCTCTCTCTCTCTCTCTCCCTCTCTTCCTCCCTCCCTCTCTCCCTCTCCCATTCCCATCCCTCCCTCTCTCCCTCTCCCATTCCCGTTCTCTTCCTTCCTCCCTACTACTCTCTCTAAATGAAAATAGTGAATGTAAAAGGTAATTCATTGCAGCTAACAGGAAATGAAGCATTCTAATGTAACAAGGACCACAGTTGGGTTCTGGTCCTGGCTCTGCCACGAAACAGCACTGTGCTTACACAAGCCACTCAATTTCCTCATCGGTACCTAAATTTCCCTGTCAACAGAAGGGTACCTAAATTTCCCTGTCAACAGAAGGGTCAGGCAGAGGTTCTGATATTATGTGGTTCTGTGATTTCTACAGAGAGGCTGGGCTGGGACAGGACAATGGGAAGGCCCAGCTCCTGGGCTCAGGCCTGGGCCCAGGGGAGCCCTGCTGGATGGAGGCCGGCAGTCTCAGGGACCGAGCCGACCCACCACCGGGGCTGCTGCTCTCTGGGGAAGGGAATGTGTTTCTGAACCTGTCCTGGGGGGTCCAGTGAACCCAGAGGAATGGAGGGCAGAACAAAAGTTTCCTGTGCTTGAAGACGGGGGTGCTGGTCCAGGTGTTTGAGCCAAGCTTCCATCCCAAAACAGAAACATGATTTTCTAGGTCCCGAAATCTTGAGACAATAGCTGATATGCCTGATTTAGTGGCTTTAAAAGCACAGACTCTCTGCCCCTTAAACAGGCTCCTGACCACTGGCATTCACCATCCCTCATAGGATAACCCTGAGTACAGAGGGTGGGACTGAAAGAAACTCTAAATTCTTTCTATGCTGAGAGGGACCTGCACACAGGGACCTGCCATAGAGCAGAAGGTATGGGCCCAACAAACTGGCCACTGCTCTAGATGTACAGCTTCCCCTGCTCGTGAAAAAGCAAGCTTTCTGTCCTGTGTGTAAGCTACTGAAGTTTAAGTCAACTCACTTCTTTGGCGCTGGATCATGGAACTTGCGCTGAGCCATGCTTTTTTCTTCCAGTGTTTCATTTTGTCTCTGTAAGGCATTTAATTTTTCTCTAACAGAGGAGAGAGAAAAACAGACTGTTTTTTTTAAATAAAACACATAAATTGACTCATAACCCCCTCCTGGGACCTGGCCCAGAAGGAGCCTGTGTGTTCCTGGGACTCAGACATCACGGTGCTCATGACCACCATGACCCCTGAGTTGGGAATATGGGGATGGAAGCATGTGACATGGGTCCAGGAGCCAAACACATCGAAGAGATGACTGAACACCTAGGGTCAGGCTGTATGTCACCTCAGGAGAGAGACCCCGAACCATCTGAAAGTCAAGCTGGGAAACCCCAAGGGTTCTGGCCAGGTCAGCTCAGGACGTTGGGCACTCCGGTCAGACTCAGGGCTAGGCTAGCTCCTGCAGGTGCAGACCAACGATAGCTTTAGTGGTGGGAGGGGTCTGCCCTTGCTGAGTTAGACAGGCATCAGGTTAAAAAGGTCAGTTTAGCAAAGTCATCCCTCCAACCTGGACCCACTTCAATGTTGGGCTTCTGCTAACACTTCTAGTGAAGCAAACTCAAAGCCTTTTGGGAGCCAGACAGAGAAGATAAGGAGCAAAGCAGCCTGGAAGGACCTGAGGGAGGAGTGGGGGCTGCGGCGAGGCTGAGAGCTCGGTGCCACCTGGGACCTAACACAGGGCCTGCAAAGGAGCGCTGCTCTCCATGTGGCGGAGCTTCTGACTGCTTTTCCCAAAGGATCCAGAAGCCCCGGCTCTGAAGCAAAATCTTTTAATTTCTAAATGTGGGAAGTCAGTTCACATTTTTAAAAACACACAAAGGATCCTCTTAAACCTTGGGCTGCCAGAGGGCACCCCCGCTCCTGGGAGAGGGAGCCTGGCTTTCCTGAAGCAGAAGACATGGCATGCTTTCCTGTTGTCTGTCTATGAGCTTTGCAGACAGTGCTCGCTATACAGCACCCCCCACTGGGCCGCTGGCTCCTGTCATGTTCCTGCGTCTCCTCACCCATGTGACCTTGACAGTTCAGACCCCGGCTTTCCCTGCTTAAAAATGAGTCCTCGGCATCCAGAGAGCTGCTCAGGCTCCTTCATTCAAGAAGGTGCCCAGCTCCTAATATGAGGGCTTTTCCGTGAGTTCGCCGCATAGTGAGCACCCGTGAGAAGTGATTGCTTGCAAACTACTGGGTCCCTGGCCACAGACCTGCTCTGCTCCCAGCACCCTCGGCTCGGCCTCTGTTCTTCTAGTCTGTGTTATTCTGTTCCCACAGCCGTCCCCCAGCCCAGCAAACTCATGGCCCAGCTATCCCAGGGCTGGGGATGACTCTGCTTGGAGCAGGCTCAGGAAGCCTGCCCACTCCCTGGCCTCCTGCAGACACTTTCTAATGCAAAACCGTCATCAGATCATCCCCAGGGTACCAGGTCCCGACTCTTCTAGTTTGCACCTGTCCAACCTCTGCTGGTAATTTTTAGCAGCTGCGTTATAGAGAGCCCACTTCAGGCTACAAACTCTCACTTCTACCCTAAAAGTACAGTGCGGTTTCCCATGTCAACCATCCTTAGTTTCCCATGTCAACCATCCTTGGTAGATGTTGAGCCCCCTGTAGATGAGCAGACGAATCCAGGAGAACAGTGAACAGCAGCATCACCCCAGGGAGCTGGTACAGTACCCAGTGGTCACTGTGGCCATGTCCCTCTGTCCCACACTGGCCAGCCATTCCCGATCACAAGGAAGGACAGTCCCAGCAGCACAGCACCGAGGGGTGAAGACCACCGTGGACCCACAAGATGTGTCTCAGATGACGTGACTTCCAAACCACAAGGATTCCAGCACCAAGGTTCTTCCTCCTGCCCTCATTTCTGGCAGCTTCCTAGGCCCTGTACACCAGCATCCCTTAATCACCCAATTCCCAGTGAATCCAAGTCATCAGAAGGGCATGGAAGCCTTCCATGGCTGAGCGCTGCCTCCTCCAGCTCCCCTCCTGCCACTCCCTGCACCTTCCCTGTGCCTAGAAAATGCAAAGCTCCACCTTCACGTTCAGCCCCTATTCCCCGCCCCCTCCAATTCCCCACACACACAGGCTAGCTTTCTCCCCATCCATGTCAGCAACAGAACTCCAACTCCCACCACCATGCTTCCTTCCATTTCCAGGAATCTCCTCAACATCTGTTTGTGTGCACACAGCTCTGCTCACATCCCATCACTGTACTGGTTCCTGGAGACCAGGTAACTGGTTCTGTGTATCTCACAGGGCCAGGACTGTCCACAAAGGAAACATGGGCAGAGGGAGGACAGCCACTGTGCACCAACAACCCACTCTGCAGCCCATTAAAGGAAAAACCGACACAGAAAGGGCTCAGCCTGTGATCTGAAGTCCTTCCCTAGGAACCTCTCTTTACCACTGTTGTATTTTTCAAAGTGACCTTGATCCCAAAAGCAGATTAAGAAGCGCCTGGCAGAGGGAAGTGTCTCTGTAAAGCCAACAAAGCCAACCACCCCTATTTGCAGAAATCTGGAACCATTCCCTTCCCGGGAAAACGAGAAGGATGTGCTGGTAAGATGGTCTGTCCCCTTGCCTGGGACACCAATGTGCCCAGGGGGTTCTCTGCTGCCCAGAATGGCGCAGTCTAGTCACGGAGCTGTTGACAGGCATCCGTCAGCCCACACCCCTCACACGTACTGCCGCTGCTGCTCCTGGTGCTGGTCCTTGTTCTCCACGTCCTCCTGGAGAAGCCTCTTGTTCTGCTCTTTCAACCTTTGGTTTTGGCTCTGTAGGTGACGGTTTTCTCCCTCCAAGTTGCCCTTGAGGTGGGAGAGCAGCTAAAACACAGATGGACAATGTCTCAAACACCACACTCTCCCATGATTCCACTGCTGGGAATCTACTTCCAAAAGGAGAAAAAGGCCACGTGCACAAAGATGGCCATTTTGGTATTATCTACGTCAGCTGGCATGACCAATATGGCCAATTGATGGGGATGGCCAAGCCTTCTGCCACTGCACCATTCAATCAGGCAGCCACAGGCCACGTGTGGCCGCTAAGCACTGAACACGAAGCCAGTCTGAGCTGGGATGAGCCATAAGTGCAAAATATATAATAGGTTCTGAGGACTTAATAATGATTCAAAAATAATGTAAAATATCTCATTAATAAGCTGCCTGGTGCATGTGGCTTGGTTGAGTATCATTCCATGCACCAAGAAATCACCAGTGTAGTTCCTGATGAAGGCACATGCCTGGGTTGCTGGCTCCATTCCCAAGTAGAGGCCATGCAGGAGGCAACTGATGGATGTTTCTCTCAAAAAGTCAGGAAAAACATATCATGAAAAAATCTCACTAATAAGCTTTAGGGGTTACATGTGATATTTTAGATATAAGGGTTCAATAAAATAGACCCTTAAATTAATCTCACCTGATTCCTTTTACTTTTTGAATATGGCTACTAGAAAGCTGAGTGTTACATGTGGTGGCCTGCATTATATTCCTATTGCACATCTCTGCTCTAGGCAGGGTTGGCACGCTTTTCCGGTAAAGAACGAGGTACTAAATATGTTAGGCTTTCCAGGCCGACAGTGGTCCTGTTGCAACTGTTCAACCCTGTTATTACAGCAGGAAAGGAGCCAGAGAAACAATGCACATGCATGGGTGTGTCTGTGTTTTAAAAAAAAAACAAACCAAAAATCTTAACTCATGGACACCAACATTTAAATTTCATGTCACTTTCACTTGCCCCCAAATATTATCCTGCTTTTGATTTTCCCCAGCCATTAAAAACTGTGAAAGCTACTCTTGGTTCTCAGCCATACACAAACAGGCGTGAAGCTGGACCTGAATTTTGGGCTGAGGGTGGCCAGCTCCTGCTCTAGAATATCATCGCGTTTGGTGTAGCAGGAAGTCCCAAGCTTTGGCTTCAGACAAACGGGGTTCCAACCCGCTACTTCAAGGGACAAGGATGGGAACCCCAGCTCACACGATCATTGTGAGAATTAAATGAGATGACACAGAGAGCAGAGTGCTCAGCCGAGAGGACGGAGATACAACGGTACTTGGCTGTTTCCATGCACCGCCCTGACCCTGCAAAAAGCAAAGATCAGGTGAAAGGTGTTCTGTAGCACACCCCTGCCAGTCCTGGTGTTCATCCCAGTCAACTGCCTCTGGCTTCCTCTCTGCCTCTGTGTGACATTCACACACACCTTTTGAGCAGAGATGCCAATGAGGACCCATTCCCACCTGGTGGAGCCCAAGGCATCAGCCCAGGGAAAAGGCCCACCCAGGGTCCTGGGGCCTCCAGCTCTGGCCTCACCTGGCAGTGGTTGCCCAGCTCGGTCAGCGAGATGTCCCTGCTCTGGAGCTCCTCCCTGAGCCAGTTGCACTGG